CTGCTTAAGCCGGTGGGGGCGGGGAGGGGGCGGTTAATTGCACTTTCCATTACTGTTTATGAACAGGCTTGAAATCAAACTGAGCCTGCAACATTTTTAATTTTGCTGTTTTGGGCTTTCTGTAGGAATTCTATTGAAATTTCTCTTTTTTTATTTTAATTTTGATAGGTGCGTATAGTCACACTTGTTTTGTCCAAGCATGAATCATTGCCATCTTAATGAATGACAAAGTTGGGAAAATATAATCTAAATTCATTCATTTGACGTTCATTGTCATTTAAAGGTCAAGAACAAATCTAAATTATTCCATATGTTACTTTGATCACAAGTGTTGTTTTGTCCAAATATGAATCAAATTCTTCCATAATGACAAAATACGACAATCAAAATTCAATAATATGGCCATGACGGTCGAGGTCATTCAAAGGTCAAGGTCAGTTTATCCTTTCAGAAGTTCTTGTCCAAAATTTTGTTTTGATATCACATTAAGAAAATTCATTTATTAATTACCAAGTTACAATCAATTATGGCAAAAATCAGTGAAAGTGCAATAATCTAACGGTCAAGGTCATAAAAGATCAAAGGTCAATTTGAGTTTGATACACATGAAAGTCTAACCCAAAAGAGTAATGTCCCAGAGTACCCCGACCACCCCCACCATTTTTATGTGACAATAATTTAAAAAGACAACCAAACCAAGATTTATTTCAAATCAGAAAATAGAGGCAATGTTTAGCACATTATCATTTACTAATATGATACAAATAAGTATTCAATGTAGAAGAATTTGAAAGCTATATAGGAATTTTCTAGAATTTCACTTTGGAAGGTAAAAAGTGCATTGTACTCGCCAGACTGATTTTTACTCAATTTGCTGCTATGAAAATTTTGAAGGGAAAAAGGCTTGACAAGATCAATCATCTGCATAAATCAGGTTTAAATCTAAGACCAAAAGCTATCAAAAAATCCCATTGTCCCGCAGTGCCCCATGTCCCAGAGTACACCAGTCTCCCCTATTCGGGATAAGCATTCCATTCTTTGTAAAAGCATGTAAAGTTTCGTAGAAAAGAGTTAAATAAATAAATAAAATGAAATGACAACTTACACAAAACCTGCACACTGACAGAAACAGACTGTGTCCCAGCCACTGGATGTGAAGATTGGCAGGTACATAATCTATCAGGACCACGTGCAGCCGACCAGGTGACTGTCTTGGTAACTGTTGTTCCATTTGTTTCGGTAGACAATCCATTGTTAAAACAATTCCATGTCAATGTTGCTAGTGGATTACCTCCCTTGATTATGCATGACAGTTTACCTTGGTTATTTTCAATAACTTTGTAAGTACTTCCATCTGAATAGGTTTGTATATAAGGTTCAGTTTCCGGGATAACTGTAAATTAAAGGCATCAGGACATCGGTAAGAATTATGAGCAATAAGCAACTCAACCTGGATCAAATAAAAATTGAAATTATTCTGTTTTGTTGGGCAAAATACGAACTTGTAAACTTTGTATATGTGATAGTACATTGTTTTTGTATTTTTGTCATTGAATGAAAATGCATGTACGAGCACATAATTCAATAGTTTGATCATCATTGTTCATGTGTCAGTCAGTGAAAATGGTGTTATCTTTCAGTCATATTCATCTACTCGTACCATAAACATTTTTATTTTCAATGAAATTAAAAGTCTGTTATCAAAATATAATTATATGGATGATTTGGGGAATGAAGTTTTTGTGCTACTGTGCAGTTATATTTTATGCAATCGTCATATTTCACGAAATACATTTCAATTTTAACACTTATTTTCATTAAATGATAATATATTCACCCATCTCATTTCAAAATTAGGTGTTATTATACCAATAAGCATTTGGTGTATTTAAGATCCTTTTTCACATAATTCGATTTTATAGTGGTATTGTTCATGTTACTTGGTACATTATCTAATGATGAAAAATATACAATGAATGATAATAATTTCACTATCTGGGTTAAATTCCAGTTCAAACGCATTTTTAAACAAGAAAATAATTCATTATCAATCTTGTACGAAACAAACTGCTGGGTTGTGATTTCTTTTTTTTAATATGATTTTATCAAATACAGTAGAATCCCTACTAAAGACCACCTCGCAATTAAGACCACCCCGCTTTTAAGACCAGTTTTTAAAAGAACGGAATTTTCTGTTCTTTACATCAATGGTTACATAATCCAGAATGAAGACCACCTCACTTATCCACTTTTAAGACCACCAAATTCAGTCCCAATTCATTATTTTGTTCTTTATTTGACCTCACTATTGAGACCACTGATATTAAAGTCAACACCTTCCTAGATCTTAAATGTGTTGTTATGTTATTATTATCTGCTTGATTGCTCTTAGGCATGACACTTGATTACACAAGGTGTCCAAAACTGTTATTTATGGGATATTTCATGAAAAAGGTGAGAAAGTTAATTTTAGAGTGGTTTAATGTTGCTTTATGCACATATATTTTGTGAAGAAATAATGTCTAACATGATATGTGAATTATGTACATCATACATAAATTATATTGAAATCAGAGCAAAGAATATTTGATTTTAATTTTTTTTCCAGAAATATGTTTTCTTCCCATCAGATGTAACATTATAACATACTTTCATATTGTATTTGCAGGTTAAGATACATATTGTTTGTTCATACAAAATGACTAAAATAGGCCCTGGTCATAACGTGTGTAAGCAATGTTAACAATATCCACAATTAAGACCACCCCACAATTAAGACCACTTTGGTCCAGTCCCGATGGTGGTCTTAATTGAGGGTTTTTACTGTATGGCCGTTTTTCTTGTTTATGATTCTGCATGTTTATATTTTTGAAACGTCGATTTTAATTAGATATTCTTGATACGATCTACATCAACGACTAGTGTTTATGCAATAGAAAGAACTAAAAAGCTGCAACATTCTATATTTGTAACAAATTAAATGTTTTTTTAACAGTAAAGCTTACATTGAACATCCATTTTGAATTTTGTTGACATCACTGGTGTTCTTCCTGGAATGTTTAAAGCTTGACAGTATATCTTATATGTGTTGTCACTTCTTGATGGCGTATACTTGAGCACGCTTGTTGATTTTTCTAGACCATCAACACTGTCTGTTGTAGAAGAAACGTTACTTGTTACCATCTGTTTTTGACCAGTTATAGACTCTTTATACCATGTTATATTTGTTGCAGGTCGTGAAGTAGATGTCTCACAGGTAAATGTTGTCTCAACATTTTCTCTTATAGATCCAGAAGGTGGGGTTAAACTTACACTGCTTACAGAAACTGTAATATAAATAAGGAGTGGTTGTAAAGTACTCATGTTTTACAAAGGCAAGTCATTGGTTGACAAGTGTGTAACTGAAACCGAATTCTAAACTAGAGATGAATTTCGATATTCTGAATTTTCTAAAACAGAATATGTACCATAATATGAATTTCGAGCTAGCTTTAAAATCGTAACTCAAAGTAGCAAAGGTTGAATTCCGAACTGGTGTTGAATTCGTGATCGAAATTCAAAGTTAGTCTAAAGCGAATTTCGAGCAGGCGTTGAATTTCGAGGTAGTTCGTAAATCGAAATTCAGTATTTGCAAAAGCCGAATATTGAGTTGAATTTCGAACTAGCAATTTAAAATAAGCAAAGAACGAATTTTGAGCTAGTGTTCAATTTCGAGCTTGCTCGAAGATCAAAATCCAGAAGTGGTAAAGGTCGAATTACGACCTGGAGTTGATTTTCGATCTAGCCCGAAGATCGAAATTCAAAAGTTGCAAAGGCAGAAATTCGAGCTGGAGTTTTGAGCTAGTTCGAAGATCGAAATTCAAAGTTAGTTTGAGCCTAATTTTGAGTTTTGGATCAATTTCGAGCTACCTCGAAGATCGAAATTAAGAAGTATCAAGGCCAAATTGTTGAATTTCGAGTCAGCTCGAAAATCGAAATACAGCATTTGCAAAAGCCGAATAACGAGTTGAATTTCAAACATGCGAGAAGATCGAAAAACAAACTTAGCAGAGGCCAAATTTCGAACTGGAATTGAATTGTTTGCTAGCTTGATGATCGAAAATAAAAATTAGCTTAAGCCTAATTTCCGTAATAAATCTAGGCAGGGAACCAGGCTAATTGATCGTATATATATGAAGTTACTTTAAACTTTATTGTGACGTCATCACTTTTATTACCATAGCGGCAAGCTTTTTAAAGCTACCTTGACCGCAGTTGGCTGACTGAGTCAAGTTTACAATTATATTTATATCATAGAGCAACAGCTACAGTAAAGATTGATGCATTATATATAGAGTAATCACCTTGAACTGTTACAGTAACATTATTACTGTATATATATTTTGGTGTAACAACTGCACATTGCCATCGGTTACCATTATTCATGTTAGAAATATATTTTACTGTAAATGTTGTCTGATTTGCAGAAAGACAGGCGTATTCATAAAGTGAGGAATAAGGTGGTTCTTGGGTATCAAATGGTTTACATATTGGTGATTTAATAGCTGCAAGTGTTTTTCCATTCAGCAACCATACAAAACCCGACACTGCCTCACTACCATTGTATGTACATGTCCATGTAAAGGATTCTTCATCAGCTGCAAGAGCAGTAGATGGTGATAATATCACACTGCCTTTCACCACAAACAAACCTATACATCAAATAGATAATATATTTATACAAATCACTAGTAATAATTTCTCTTGGCTTTCATAAAATCATAATTTTGAAATGGATAATTGAATAGTTAAAGCAAGTCAATACATTGCAAAATGTATATAAAATTGAAATGCTCGACTTAATATATAAATGCAATGAAATATTAAAAAAACCAACACCGAATACTACAAAAAATATCGTTTTTTGGTTTTTATTTAAAGTTAAAAATAGATAAATACAGAATCCCCAAAGAAAGCCCAACACGGCAAAATGAAAATGTTGCAGGCTCGGTTTAATTGAGCCTGTTCATGGACGGTACTGGACACAATTAAATCATTTCATTATATGTAACATAGTCCAGAATAATTGCGGATAATAGCTGAACTGTTGATGTTTATTGTTCTTTGATCACAGTCCATTATTTCCACGCAGTGCTTTTCGGGAATATATGTATAATTGACTGCATGTGCTTAGGTAATTTTCGAAATGTGTTAACATTTTTTCTAACCATCTCTAAATTCTGCAGCGATCTTTATTCACCTTGATTATCTTACTTCACACACGACAAAAACCTATACAATTCAATGGAACCTCATTCATATTGTTTATAACAAATTAATCAGGTTTATTCTAAAATTGGGAAATGGAGAATACGTAACCTAAAGTTACTCTTTTTGAAAAATGTGAGGTGAGAAATCGAGGTCACATAAAGAAGACGAGATAATTATCAATATTTGATGTTCATTGGTTCCTAACACCAATGAATATAAAAGTTTCAAAACATATTAAGAAAGAAAACGTTTTGAATAAACGTTTAAATTTTATATGGCTAGAGGTCTATTAAACTTTACATTCTGTAAATTTCACCATATTTCTGTCACTCCTAGTTTTGTTTAAACAATCTTAGGTGCTCTAAAATATTATAATGCTTGAACTATGCTCTAATTTATTGTATTCTTCTTTGACAATAGAGAGTAATTGATTTTATTCGCCAAAGTTTAGACTTATTCAAAAGTTTTATGACAAGAATAGCGGAGCCTGCAAAACTGGATCCCTACAAAACCTGGATTCTCAGTATGTCCTGCAACTTCTCATGTGTGCGAACAGAAGTTCTTTTCTCACTTCTTCAAACAGAGATTGATTTACACCTTAACGCTTATTTAATTATTTCATTAGATTTTAAATATGCAATCAACATGCAAATAAGAAGACATCTGTAAACATTGAGTGAGGGGTTATGTAATTAAAAGCCCAATACTGTGTCTGACATTTTGTCAATGGATTTCTACCAGATATCTCGGAAAAGGTGGTCGCGAGACAATTGTTATTTATTAAATGTTATTGTGTGTTGGGTTTCTTTATAAATTCATGGACATATTTTAAAAAATGTATGAACATGTAAATAAATGACATATAGAATAACCCAATATAAAGTTCATTTTAATTATTTGTTTGTAAACACCAACACTTACCTATTTCTTTAAATTGGACTTAATGGACAATTATAACATTGGCTGCATTTTAATACTACGTAAACATACTGAATGTGAAAGTCAATATTTTTATGATAATTTAAAACTTAAAAAGCAGTACTGTTACAGTAATGATTAAGTATAAAGAACCATATTCAGATAGTCCATTGCATTGTTTTCATAATGCATTTACACTTCTTAAAATAATAAGAAGATGAATACAAAAATGTTGTACTGACATAATAAGTTCTTTCTACATCAATAAATTCAATCTATTAAACGTAATTGTTGACACAAGTTACATGTATTCATCCATAAACGATGTTTAAAAACCTAACAGTTACATATTTGAAAAACAGTGCAACAAATATGTCATCTTCTTATATAAATAAATGTATCTTAACCAAAATGATGTAATCAAACAAGAGGGCCATGATGGCCCTGAATCGCTCACCAGAAACCACTGTTTTTCAGTGATTATAGAAATATTTTTTGAAATAAAAATTGTAGAAAGACAAGTCCAGATCAACTTCAACTTGCCTCTCTAGTTAAAAAATTTCCCAACACAGATTGTTTTTTTTCTTTATAGTAAAAATGATAGGAACTTTTCACAAAGTTCCCAAGTTCATTGTTCCTGTTCATCCGGTAAGTTAAGCATATCGACTAACGCTACTTGATTCTTTCCATTTCAGCTCAATGGGGTGGGCACATGAAATTAATTTGAGCAAACTTAATAAAAACCTTTAAGAATGCTACAAACCAAGTTTGGGGATCATCCATCCATTAATTTGTGATAAAATTTGCCTATGACTGTCTTTCGGAATTGCGATCTTTTTTTTTACTTATCCTAAAAATAAGATAATTACATTATCTCAGTATTTAGATATACATGTATACTGTTTGTCAGACTGACACCACCGGTCAATATTTATTTAAGATGACATAGGTATACTAGTCAACTCGACCAGAAAGTTAACGTGCAGGTTGAATTATCTTTCTCTCTAATAGAAATAGGAGAAATTAACTACATAGAGGAAAAAGCAAAAGGTTGTTTTAATGAAATGTATTCAGTGAACAAGATAACTCTTTTAATAAAACAACTTTACATACAGAGTGGAAAAGTAATATTGTATGGAACATTGCAAAATTACTTTGAACAAGTGATAACCAAGTTTGTAAAATATGATTCTCAATAGAAATAATTGAAACTGATAGTAAAACAGCACAAAGAATAAACAATGACAAATTACATTATGACAAGCAAGAACAACTGCTTAAATTGACATGAACTTGACTTAAACTTCAGTTTTGTTTCTTAATGTAAAATGCTAAGGTACAACAGGTTTAAGAGTAAAATAAGATGCAAAATAAGTTTAGCCATATCTACATTTATAAAATAAATTCAAATTTATAAACATTTAACTTACTAGTTTGAAAGTTTCTCTATTGAAAAATTATTTGAATACAACTAATATATATAAAATATATATAAAACCAACAAAAACAAATAAACTATTTACTGAGATTAGGGAAAGTGGTTATGCAGCTGGGGAATACGAGTTCAGACTAATGGAAGGCTCACAGGTTCATCGATCAGGCTATTCAATATGTTAATATTATATTCTCATATATTACAAAATTCAACAGATACTGTAAATGAGTCTCATTTAAACAAAAACAACAACAACAAAAAAAATACCAAAAAAAAAAAAAAAAAAAAAAAAAAACAAAAAAAAACGATATTATACAAACAGCGACTAAATCCCAATATACCATGCACATGAAACATCAGGTTCAACAGTGTGTTTTAAAATTTATTGAAATGTGTTTTCTTAAAATTTGGATCCATTTCAATAGAAATTGAAAAAAATCATTAAAACATTGGGTTTGTTAGGCCTAATTTTATTTCCTGGGAAAAATTCTCTACACTGACCTACGAGTACAAATGAAAGATTAATTGTATGATGCGATGCATGTCCAAATGCTACAGCTGAGAGTTATTGACAGAAAATAAACAGAAAATGAATTTATGTTAACCATTGCAGTTGTGAACACTAAATAATTTCAGAAGAAGATTTTGTTCTATACAATCTAGCTTTACCATAGTACAGAAGTTTCTAGTGAGGACCTATTCTATTTTTAGCTTTAGCGGCCCCTAAAAGGGGCCGATCAAATTAATATGAGCAACTTTGATAAAAGGCTACCTAAGAATGCTACAGACAAAGTTTGGTGATCATCCACCCATTAATCCAGAAGAAGATACGATTCAGGCTTTTTTCTATTTTAGCTTGAGCTCATTAATATAAGCAAATTTGATAAAAGATTATATAATAATGAAACAAACAAATTGAAATGACATGAGCAAATTTCAGTGTGGCAGTCAAAATAATGCTACAGACCAAATTCGAGATAAATCCGCCCATCCGTTTCAGAGAAGAAGGTGATTGTTGACGCATGACGACGGACTACGGTTGATGGACGCTGGACCATCCCCCTTTGATACTAATAGCTCACCCTGAACCTTTGGTTCTTGTGAGCTAAAAAGCATAAACCCACATGTTTCTAATAAGCATTTTTATAACAAATGTGTGTCATGTGATATACATGCTCGTCTAAGTCAAAAGTCTGCTTATAAACGATAAATCGGGAAGTAAACTATTTTAAACCCATGACCGAATTGATAATGCAGTTAGTATCTAGGAATGGCAAGTTTAAGTTTCATTACATTATCAATATATTCATAACATGTTTATTTAAAATCAATAGATTATTTGTATTTTTTATACACAAAAAAAGAAACTTGTGTTTAAGTGCATATTTTAACTGAAACTTCTTTTACGAGTATACCAATGTGAGAGTATGTGTACAATTTTACTGCTCCACATCGACTGATAACGAGATCGGTTTTTCTGTATTCTCCTTTCACTTTCTACCGTTTTTAACGAGATCGGTTTAAACGAGATATAGGTGACAACGTACCTATATATATTCGCCGTCCCATGCGTATTTTCCCGAACTATGGCAAATGTATAAGTTGGGCGCATTTTCCGTTAGTATTTCAAATATTGACAAAAACAATAGGATAGTCTGAAATTTTGTAAAAAAATCAAAATAATGATAGTGGTCTCACGTGGTTTATTATAGTTAGAGTCCATCCGAAGGTAAAATACAAGACTCGTTCAGATAATTCTACGTCAAGCAAACCACTTTGTTAAAAGTCAGATATCTTACCCATCATATTTCATCGAGACCCCAGACTCAAAATCAATGTGGTTCCAAATATTCAAAATGGCCGTCAAGATGGCGGCTGAATTTATTTAATGTTTATATAATTTTAATAAGCTCACATACTCGTATATTTATGTTGAAACTACCAAATTAGAATATTCTTATCATTTTTGTTAAATATAGATATTGTAAATGGACTGTTTTTTTAAAAAATAAATTGATTTTTCATGAAAAAGAAGGATAAAAGAACAAATTTTCAGTTTATGGTATATTTTGTCATTTTACAAAAGTT